ACTTAGTAAACATATATGAGTCCCATTTTACAGAGGGAGAGGGGGAGGATGCATAATGTGCTGTAGTCCCCACAGCCAGTATGAGGTAGAATCAGCACTGCACTCCGGTCTCTGGGCCAGTAGATGAATTTCCCCCCATGGCACCAAACTACTGCTCTGCTGAAGCCTCTCTTCATTCATCTGTTTGTTCAATGGAGGGGAGATTGAAACACGGATTAATGTTGTTCCAGCAATTTCTCTAGCGAGATTAACTGACAAAAAGAGAGTCACTTGAAGCATTTACATTGAAAGAACAAACTTTCCAGGTTCTTCATCTTTTATCCCTCCCCTCAAACATCCCTCTTTAATAATTCAATGGCAAGAAATAACACTTTCCATTTTTGGCAGGTTAATTGTTGTATGTTGTGTGTTTCTGTTAAGTGCCGTTGAGTCAGTTCTAACTCATAGAATCCCTGTATAGCATTTTCAAGGAGGGGCAGGTGGGTTTGAACCAACCACTAACCTTGTGGTTAGCAGTCCAGGGCTTATCTTATAGCACCATACAAGGACTCCAAATGGATCCTTTATTAAAAATAGATCCTCAATCGAAGTGCATCTTGAAAACTGGTACCAGTGGAAATGTTCTGTTTAATGGGAGGAAATGTTTGGGGTAGTCCTCCAACCCAACCAGCAGGTTCCAAAACACCTGTAGGTAAAGCTGGATGAGGCCATTGGAAGTCTGGGAGCAGAAGACGCTCACATGGTCAGAGCAGTTGAGCTGTTAGATGCCTAAGGACAACCACAAGGCTGGTGAGAAAGAAAGTGTGGAACTTTCTCCATTAGTTCAAATAAACGCCTTTGAATCCTGGCATTTGAGATGCTGTTCCTGATGTTAGGTGCCATCAAGTCAGTACTAACTCATTGCAACCTTATGTACAACAGAACAAAATACTTCTCAGTTCTGCACCATCCTCACAATTGTTGCTAAGCTTTAGTCCATTGCTGCTGCCACTGTACAAATCCATCTCATTGGGGGACTTCCTTTCCTTCACAGGTCCTCCACATTGCCAAGCATGACATCCCTCACCAGGGACTGATCCCTCTTGATAATATGTCTGAAGTAAGATAGATGAAATCTGTCCATCCTGGCTTCTAAGGAGCATTCTGGCTGTACTTCTTCCAACTCAGATCTGTTTGCTGTTTTGGCGGTCCATTGGTACTTTTAATATTCTCCTCCAACACCATAATTACATAAATACATCAATTCTTTTACGGTCATCTTTATTCATTGTCTAGCTTTCACATGCATATGAGGTGTTTGAAAATACCGTGGTTTGGGTCAGGCGCACCTTTGTCCTCAAACTGACATCTTTGCTCTTGAACACTTTAAAGCGGTCTTGTGCCGCAAATTTGCTTAATGTAGTATGTCGCTTGATTTCTTGACTGCTGCTTCCATGAGTGCTGAGGGGGCTAGGCAATCGGAAATGAAAGGTCACCCCCTGCCTGAATGAGCTCAGAGTCTGTGGAGAAGAAAGAGGAAGTGTGGATGCTGACAATGTAGGTAATGTTCTTTTTGTGTGTAGATGATGGGACATAGCTCATCCTCACTGAAGGTCTGCTCTGGAAGAACAGAATAGGACTTGTAACCCAGAATTCCCTCCATGTTAGCTACAAGAGCACTCAAAGCATCTCCTTTCGAGAAGAGATCATGAACGGCATTGTGTGTGTGTGTGTGTGTGTTTGGGGGGGGTCTATACAATCGTGGGTCTTTCTCAAAGGGATCAATGTTTATAAATTATTCATCACTTTTGCATAATTTCAGCCCTAGGTTTTATTTACATCAAAGCCCAGGCATAGCAAAAGGTAGAAAACAAAACCACAGAGCCGTGAAAAATTTTAAACCTTCTTGTTATGACTTTGTTTTTCAGAAGAAAAAAAAAATCAAAATGTCTTTTCATTAAGATGCCCCAGTGCATTCCCTGAACAATGTAATTACCTAATGACATTAGCATGGTATGCTGTTTAATAATCCCTCCCAATTAGTAGGCAAAGCACTTTAACATCCATTATCTCCTTGGGGCTCACAACAGTGATGCCATTGGGTAAAGCCTCATTTGACAGCCTTTAAAAGTCAGGGTCAGATGAAACTGTTGGTCCAGACTCACATGCAGCAAAGACCAAAATACCACTGTCATTGAGTTGATTCTGGCTCACAGCGACCCTGCACAGGGTTTCCGAGGCTGTCAATCTTTACAGAGCAGAAAGCCTCATCTTTCTCTCAAAGAGTGGCTGGTGGGATTGAACTGCCCACCTTGTGCTTATCCCCTACAATGCCACCAGGCCTCTGGTGTGCTGCAAAGAGTGTGGTGTAAAGACACAACAACCCCACTTATTTTTGTAGACTGCTGCTCAGTCAGCTAATGGGTTCATTTGCTTTGGGACTTATAGTTGTTATTAGATTCAATCAAGCCATTTCAACTTAGTGACTGCATATGACAAAGTCAAATTACCCCACAGGGTGATCTTGACTGTAATCATTATGAAAACAGATCACCAGATCTCTCTCCCTAGCAGAGTTCAATGTTGTTGTTAAGTGCCATCGAATCGGTTCCGCCTCATAGCAACGCTGTATAGGGTTTCTGAGGAGCAACCGGTAAGTTTGAACTGTAGACCTTGCGGTTCAAACCAAAACCTAAAGCTACACATCAGAGTTAAATGGTGGTGATGGTGGTGTGCCGTGGAGTCAGTTCCAACAATAGCATCCCTGCATAGGGTTTCTGAGGAGCAGCTGGTGAGCTTGAACCACTGATCTTGCAGTTCAAACCGCTTCGCAGTCTGACGCATTAGCCCACAGCGCCACAGCAGGACTCCATAACAATAGCTGTTGTTGTTGTTGTTGTTGTTATGTGCCGTGGAGTCGGTTCCAACCCATAGCGAACCTGCATAGGGTTTCCGAGGCTGTAAATCTTCACAGGAGCAGAAGCCTCATCTTTCTCCCATGGAACAGCTGGTACTTTTTGAACTGCTGACCTCGAGATTAGCAGCCCAATAGATACCTTATAAATCTAAATAGATTCTGGGGTTAGATTCGCATCTTTGACTATGATTTCTAAGTGATAGCCCTATTTAGTCATGCCAAAGTTTGGTATACATTTGGCTAATAAATTTGTCTTTTTTCCTTAATGTCTTTCAGTTACTCTTACACACTAAATAGAAGGCAGTACATTTTATATTTTTCACAAATAGGCTTAAAACTCTTCATTTTGGAAGATTTTTTTAACAGGTTGGGAAATGGGCCAGCTCTGAGAATGTTCTGGTATACCTTATGTTTGACAACACAATTCATATAAACATGGAGACACTCCCCAACTTCCCTATTCAAAAATTTATCTTCAGAATGTGTATTTCTGGTGAAACAATTTCTTTCTCACCCATTGTTAATCCATCACTTTTAGCTTGAAGAAGAAAATTAACCAAGTTTGTTTGCTTTTGTTCCCCCAAAGAATATTTGCTAGAGAGATTAATGGCAAGCAGCTAGCACAAAACAGTCAGCAAATTTGGAACACTTGTCTTTTTGTTAAAGATAACTGAGTAAATCATCTTGGAGTTGATAACTCTTGTAAGCCTTTTCAAGCAAAATAGCCATTGGTTTCCTATGTGACAGCAAACATATCCCTAATATTTGCCCCATTATCCCTAAGAATCATGTTCCACCATTGAATTTTGTGTTTATAAAAGTGCCTATGATCATGTCCTGGAGAAAAATATCATGCTTGGTAAAAAGGAAGAATAACAAAAAGGAGTAAGCTCTCCCACATCCAGCCCACCCCACCCCCAGCTAGATAGATTGACACAGTGGCAGCAATAATGTGCCCAAACATGACAACAGTTGGGATGATGATGCAGGACTGGGCTGTGTTTCATTCTATTGTGTCTATGTTGTTTGTTGTTAAGTGCCATCGAGTCAGTTCTGACTCATAGCAACCCTGCATTGCATTTCCAAGGAACGGCTGGTGGGCTTGACCCTCTGACCTTGCAGTTCAAGCAAACTTGCTGTCTAGCACATTAACCAAAGTGCTACTACAAAATAACAAATGATATCATTTAACCTGTAAACTTATTTTTGTTACTGTTGTTAGGTGCCATCATAGCAACTCTATGTACAGCAGAACAAAGCACTGCTCAGTCTTGTGCCATAAACTAGTTTGTTTAAAATACTCTGCAAGTAAAGATGGGAATAAATACACTGATGGTGGAAACCGTCTTCTTACTGCTAGATCAATCCATAATGGTAACAGGCAAGGGAGGGCTCTACATGGCCCTGTGAGGTTAGTAAGGTCATCCTGTTGTTAACACTTTTCTAAGATGAAGGGGAAAAAATTATATATATGTATATGATTATATGATTGAAAGTTCTAGCATCTTCTTTCTGCATCCCAGTGGTCACTCCTGGATATGAACTGTTATTTTTCCAACCACTGTTCAGAAGGGTAGAAGAGAAGTAAAGAGTTTTGAACAAAGGAAAGTTGGGTAACATGGTAACATATGTGTTGAGTAAGAGCCTCTCATTAGCCATAGGAAGTATGATCTGGAAGAACAGACTGAGGCAGAGAGCCCCAGGCAAGGCAACATTATGGCCTCAACTAGGGTGCTGGCAGGAAGAATGAAGAGAAGGGGTCAGAATAAGAAATACTCAAGTTGGGAATGGAGTATAAGATGAAGTGCAGAATCTTTAATAAGCCAGGCTGATGCTTAGAAAACGATGCTGGTGCCATTCCCTGAGACAAGGGATACATCTGATGAGCAGGTTTGTGAAGCAAGGTGGCCAACGTTCTTCAAAGTTCAGATAAAAGGCTGGGGCATTCATAGAGGAAGAGAATCCTTCCGCTTGTCAGAGTTCACAGAGGCCTTGTATAGGAGGTGGTATCTGAGTGGGCAGGGGTTGAATGGATGGAGATGGAGGAGGCCCATGATAACCCACTCTGGCTTTATGCATGTGTCTGCATTCATTATATCAACAGGTATGTGCGGTCCAGGACGAAGCATGACGTTGACATGAGGATTGGAATCCACTCGGGCTCAGTGCTGTGTGGTGTGTTGGGCCTGCGGAAGTGGCAGTTTGATGTCTGGTCTTGGGATGTAGACATTGCAAACAAACTTGAATCTGGAGGGATCCCCGGGTAAGTGAAAGCAAAGCCCCTTTCTTGCTTAAACTCACTTTATGACAGTGAGTTTCCCTTTACAGAGTAAGAGTCACAAATCTAAGAAGCTATTACTGGGCATGAAACACTGTGTATGTATTGACCCTAAAAGTCTAAGGAAACACAACATCCGAGGAGGGTAGAAAACCATCCAGCTCCTCTGCTTTCAACTCTGCATGCCATTAATTCCTAGACATGGTAGCACATTAGAATCACCAGATTGGAATTTCAAAAGTACTGATGCCCAGATCCCATGCCAATTCAATTACTGAAACAGAATAAATATATACAGGTATATATGTACATATTCAATTAGTGAACATATATACATACATATGTATGCATTATATATATACACACATATATATGTATGTAAGGAGCTTTGGTAGCGTAGTGGTTATGAGTCGGGCTGCAAACCGCAAGGTCAGCAGTTCGAAACCACCAGCCTCTCTGTGGGAGAAAGATGAGGCTTTCTGCTCCCGTAAAGATGTACAGCCTCTGAAACCCTGTTCAGGGTCACTATGGGTCAGAACCTACTAGACGGTGCTTAACAACAACATATATGTATATATATTCTGTTTCAATAATTGAATATATACATGTATATGTATTTCAGACTGCAAAGCCATTTGAACCACAAGGTCAGGGGTTCAAGCTCACCAGCTGCTCCTCGGAAACCCTATACAGGGTCACTATGGGTCAGAATCGACTCAATGGCACTTAACAACAGCAACATATATGTATATACTATTTCAGTAATTGAATTGGCATGATATATATATATAGCTGTTGTTGTTAAGTGCTATCAAATTGGTTCCGACCCATAGCAACCCTGTATTGGGTTTCCAAGGAGCAGCTTGTGAGCTTCAACTGCTGACCTTGCAGTTCAAACAGCTCTGCAGTCTGGCGCATTAGTCCACAGCAGGTGGTCATCAAGTTAGTTAAAACTCATTTGTTGTTAAGTGCCAATGAGTCAGTTCCAATTCATTAAGACACTGTCTAGGGTTCCCGAGGAGCAGCTGGTGGGTTTGAACGGTCCACCTTGCAGTTCAAACCAATCTTGAGGTCCAGTGCATTATCCTGCAGCACCACACAGTGGCTATGAGTCAGAACCGACTAAATAGCACACCACCACTACCACCACCAATGTTTCAGTTAGCGCTTGTTGTTGTTAAGTACCGGTTCTAACTCACAGCAACCCTATATACAGTTTCTAAGGCTTTACATCTTGGCAGGAGCAGAAAGCCTCATCTTTTACCTGAGGAGAGGCTGGCAGGATTGAACCATGGACCTTGGTCTCAATCAAATGGAGCCACCCTGCTGCCCTGTTAGCCCTGTTGTTGTTGTTAAGTGTCGTGGAGTCGGTTCCAACTCATAGCGATCCTGGACAGGGTTTCTGAGGCTTGTAAATCTTCATGGGAGCAGAAAATCTCATCTTTCTCCCACGGAACAGGTCATAGTTTCAAACTGCTGACCTTGAGGTTACCAGCCCAAATCAGAACCACTACGCTACCAGAGTTCCTTCAGTTAGCCCTACCAGTGTGTTAGTCACTTGCACCATCAAAAGGTACTTTGCAATTGTTAAGTCTTATTTACTCTTGTGATGACTATCACATCCTGGCATTTACAAATAGAAGAAAATTGTTAGGCATACCTGACATTCAATATACGAGAATATTGTCTGAAACTCCACCCATTCCTTAAAGGGAAATGTAATCTTTAGAAATCTCATCTACAAATGCCTTCCTCCAAAGCTCCAGTGAGTAGCAAGGAGGGAAAAGAACATCTAAAACCCAGTTATTATCAGAACATTTAATTATCTATTGATTATAACTTTAGCAGAGGATCACTAATATGTGAAGGTGAGAATGTCTTTCACTGCAGAAAACAATATTGATTTAGTTCATGCAAATATCAGTCCCCTGCACTTACAACAGAATAATAAAATGCAGAATCCAGAGAAAGTGCCAAACTGAGTTGGTATTTAACTTAATTATGTTACATGAAAAGCAACCATTGTGCTTTACAAAGCCCTTCCAGTTTTGTTATGCTGGGAAGAAAAAAGCAAGCCCCCAACATCCTGCACCCAGCTCCAAGCTGAGGCTAAGAAAGCTGGGACCTCCATTTCATGGGAGGTCAAATGATTTCAGGATTCTTCCTAATCAACACTATTGGCTCCTTAACGTACTGATGAAACTCAGAGTGAGCGAGTGTGATTGTTGCTGATGCCAATTGCCATCAAGTCAGTTTCGGTTCATAGTGACCCTGTATAGAGTTTCCAAGGAGTGGCTGGTGGGTTTGAACTACCGACCTTACAGTTATCCTGTGGAGCCACACCAGTGTTCCATCATGAGAATCTGTTTGTTGTTGTGAAGTGCCATCAAGTCAGTTCTGACTCATAGTGACCCTGTATAGGATTTGCGAGGAGCAGCTGGTGAAATTGAACCAAAGACCTTGCAGTTCAAACTGACCTTGCAGTCCAGCGTATTAACCCACAGCTCCACAGCAGGACTCTGTCATGAGAATATTTATTCAGTGCATTTCTCAGTATAATGCAAGCATCTTTCAGATGATTTTACTTTTTTTAATGTTTTATTGTGAATTATGTGATAGTTTACATTAGCTTTACATTCATATCTATCATATGTCGTTTCATTGCCATGGTTACAATCCCCCTCATTCATCATCAGCTAACCAAAGGGTATACCATGCAAGCCTGCACACACCCACACACCCACCACCACCACCACCGGTTATCAGCACACCGCCCTTCTCCCTCTCTGGGTCTAAAGTACCCAGCCACTCTATCTCTCAACGTCATTGTCTCTGCCTTCATCGCTGGCGTCACTGCTTCTCTGGGTAGGGTCCCACTCTCCGATCTTCTCCTTTGATGGTTCCAGGGAACTCCGCTCCTCAACTGCAAAGTCAATCACTCCCCTCCTTTTGCTACAAAACATCTACCTTTACTTTTCCAACCCTCACAATCAGTCCTGATAATAATTATTTACTATTGTATCACAAGAGACCTATCCACATCTCCTTTCATCAGCCCCACCCAGACAGATTGGATATTACTCAGTGGAGATTCTACCTTCCTCCATACCCTCTGGTTCTAGGTTCCTTCTTGAAACCTTGTAAGCCATTCACTTCTTGCCTTTGTAGGCCCTCCCCACCGTTGCCCATTTTGGGTAGCCAAAGTCCAAGTTGCCTATCCCTGTCTACTCTGTGTATGGAGGGGGTGGGAATAGTCCTCGCTGTAAAGATTTGTTCCCTCTTTTGAGCTACTGCATCCATAGGTGTAGGTCATGTTCATCAAATTGTATTAGATTACTCTTTTTTTCTTCAGATTACTCTTCTTTCTTCTTCTAGTTGAGCTCTGATCATCTAGTTATTGAAGCCAGGTCAAGTGGGTATTATCTGCAAATGTGGGTGTTCTTATGCATATGCCCTCTCTTCTTATCAGCTGAATGCTTCACTCTCCACTCTAGTCTTCTGTGGCTATGTCACTGACTCTGAGCCCAAGAGTCCCTAGATCTTTCCATAATGCTGGCCAACCAGGTCTCCAGCCAGGTGCACAGGAGTCTATTGAACATTGTAGAGTTTAGCTCGCAGCTTCATTGCTGTTTTTCTGTCACTTCCCCTTATCAGTGATGAATGTGGTCACCAGTCAGAGTGTATATTCCCATTGAGCCTTAGTCTTTGAAGGGAGTTTGCCCTGAGGGGACCCGACCATGAGCAACTTGCTTGTTCTTGTAGTAATCAGTTGGTCTGCCTGTATTGTTTTGTATCTTTCCTGTTGCTCTTTCTTTCAAGATGTATCTTCTGTTCTAGCCGCTCCAGGCTGGTCTTTTTGTCCTTTCAAGTGGAAATTTCCCACCTCTGAAGATTCTGGATATGGTTTAGGATTCCACCTATGGTCTTATGTAATGCAGAGGCTCCACAGGAAACCTCCTTCACTGGGCACGTTGTAGCCCCATTTTAGGTATTCCAATCAGTTATAGG